CAGTCCACCGGCCGTCCTGCATTGGAGCGATACTCCCCTCGGGTGTCCTGGGGGAGGGGCCCCACTCCAGGGTCATCACCCTTTGTTCACACACTTCTGGGCCAACAAGAGGCAGAGAGAAGCCCTTGTTTCACAGGGCTTGTAACAACCACAGTCTTACGTGAGAATGTTTGTGGGTTTTCATGATAAACACATCATCACAATCAGACACTGAAAAAAAAAAGAGAAATGAAAATACTGTGGCTGGATCCTAAACCCTAAATATCCTTTGGCTGCCTTAAATTAAGTGAAGGCTGTTCCCAGAATCCTGTTTTTTCGGGAAATTGGAAAATTCTAACAGTCACACAAGATAGTTTTGTTTTTCTGAGCTTTCCTGACTTCCCTCCGGACCTAGAGCTGATGGCAGCAGCAGAATTTTGAAAAGTAGGTGTGCATTGCCCTGGATCGTTAAATACTCATTAAAGATCTTGTTTCATCAGCTGAATTGCCTGAACTGTTGTGCGCCCTGCCACGGCTAGGGGACCAATGTCCTGTCTCAGCCCCCTTTTCTGCAGCTGCCTGTGCCCCATTCTGGGTCTGCTGTCCAACCTTTGTGTGCAGGGCCCCCGGTGCAGGCTTTCTGCTCTGCTCTCACTGCAGACCTGGAAATAAATGTGTTGTCCTCTGGCCGATTGCAAGTCAGGGGTCGGGAGAGGGTCCATGCTCATCATTTGTTCATTCATACTTCAAAAAAATGTTTTCTTTTACTTTTCAATTACAGTTGACATACAATATTATGTTTCAGGTATACAATCCGGTGATTATTCATTCATATAACTTACGAAGTGATTACCCCGGTAAATCCAGTACCCATCTGACATCATCTGTAGCTACCACAGTATTATTGACTATATTCCATATACTGTATTTTACATCCCTGTGACTATTCTCTAACTAACAACTTGTACATCTTTTTAAAAAAGATTTTATTTATTTATTTTTAGAGAGGGGAAGGAAGGAGAAAGGGAAACATCAATGTGTGTTTGCCTCTTGAACACCCCCTACTGGGGACCTTGCCCGCAACCCAGGCATGTTTCCTGCCTGGGAATCGAACTGGCGAACCTTTGGTTCACAGGCCAGTGCTCAGTCCACTGAGCCACACCAGCTGGGGTCAACTTATACTTCTTAATCCCCTCACCTTTTCCACCCATCCTCCCATCTGGTAACCATCATAATGTTTTCTGTATCTTTAAGTCTGTTTCTGGTCTGTTTATTCATTTATTTTGTTGTTTAGATTCCACATACAGGGGTGGGCTAAAGTAGGTTTACAATTGTTTGTATGGAAAATAGTACAATAATTAAGGAATAGTACAAGAATAAATTCTGTTTCTCACATTCTCACAACTGGAAACTTACTTTTGCTCAACTCTGTATAAATGAAATCATACGTTATTTGTCTCAGACTGACTTCCTTCACTCAGCACAACACCCTCTAGGTCCATCCATGTTGTTGCAGGCAGCAAGATTTCATTATTTTTTTAATGACTAAGCCATATTTCATTCTATATATGCTCCAGTTTTTCTTTATCCATTCATCTATTGATAGACACTTGTATTGCTTCTGTATCTCAGCTATTGTAAATAATGGTGCAATGAAAATATGGATGCTTATGTTTTTTTGATTTAGTGTTTTGGGTTTCTTCAGATAAATGTCCAGAAGTGGACTTGCTGGGCCCTTATTTGTCTCATTATATATAGCCTTTGTTTTAAAGTCTGTTTTGTCTGGTGTAAGTATTGCTACCCCAGCTTTTGTTTTCATTTCCATTTTCCTGAAATATCTTTTTCCCTCCCTTTCCCTTCAGTCTATGTGTCTGTCTCACATCCAAAGTCTCTTCTTAACAGCCTGTTATGGTCTTGCATGGTTATCCATTCAGCCAGCCTCTGTTTTTCGATGGGAACATTTAATCCATTTGCGTTTACAGTAATTATTGATAGATATGTATTTATTGCCATTTATTTATATTTTTATCTTTCTTGTTCTTCTTAAAGAAGACCCTTTAATGTGTCTTGTAATACTGGTTTGGTGCTGATGAGCTCTTTTAACTTTTTCTTGTCTGGGAAGTTCTGTATCTGTCCTTTGATTCTAAATGATAGTTTGCTGAGTAGAGTAATCTTGGTAGTAGGTCCTTGCTTTTCATCACTTTGAGAATTTCGTGCCAATGTCTCCTGGCTGCAAAGTGTCTATTGAGAAATCTGCTGACAGACTTATGGGAGCTCCCTTGTGGGTAACCATCTGCTTTCCTTGTGCTGCTTTTGATTCTCTGTCTTTAATCTTTGGCATTTTAATTATGATGTGTCTTGGAGTGGGCCTCTTTATATCCATCTTGTTTGGGACTCTCTGTGCTTCCTGGACTTGCATGTCTATTTCTTTCACCAGGTTAGGGAAATTTTCTGTCGTCATTTTTAAAAATAGGTTTTCAATTTCTTGCTCTCTCTCTTCTCCTTTTGGCATCTCCATGATGTGAATGTTGGTGTGCTTGATGTTGTCCCAGAGTTTCCTTAAACTATCCTCAATTTTTTTGATTTTTTTTTCCTTCTGTTCTGACTGGGTATTTTTCTGCTTATCTTCCAAATAGCTGATTTGACCCTCTGTTTCATCTACTCTACTGTTGATTCCCTATGTATTCTTCATTTCATTTATTTTATTCATAATTTCTGACTGGTTCTTTATGTTCTCTGTCAACATTTTTATGTGCCCTAACTCTTTTTGGAAGTTTCTACTAAGTTCATCTGCTCTTCCCCTAAGTTCATTGAGCATTCTTATAACCAATGTTTTGAGCCCTGCATCAATAGATCAATCAGGTAGATTGCTTCTCTCCATTTTATATAGTTTTTTTTTCTGGAGTTCTGTTTTTTTCTTTGGGACATGCTTTCTTTGTTCCTCATTTTGGTAGCCTCTGTGTTCATTTCTGTGTATTAGGTAGAGCTGCTGTATCTCCCAGTCTCAGTAGAGTGGCCTGCTGTAGTAGGTGTCACGTAGGGCTCCATGGCACAGCCTTCCTGGTCACCTGAGCTGCCTACTCCAGGTATGCACCCTGTTGTAGTAGTTGAGCCTTGATTATTGTTGGCCTATCAGTGGGAAGGATTTACCCCAGACCAATCAGCTGAGAGGACTAGTTGCACCACAGTGGAGCAGCTGCTATGCAGGAACTGACCCCATGGAGAGGACTCGCTTCCACAGGACTCTGGTGCCCAGTGAGTGCTGGCCTTGAGTGTGTCATTCATCGAGGTGATTGGGTGATGCTCTGGCATTGTCTAAAGTGGTCCACTGTTGCGCTGGCTTTTGGTTGTCCCAGGAGGTGCAAGCCTATGGTAGCCACAGCCTGTGCCCTGCATAGGCCACCCACCGTGAGCTGCAAAGTGATCTGCAGATGGCTGCTGCTTGTGCTGGGCTTGGAGGTGCCCAGGAGAGGCCAAGCTGTGAACCAAGGCTGGCTGCTGCTAGTGCCAGGCCTGGGCCACTTCGCAAAGGCATGGCCACACTCAGGCCAAATGCTGCTTGTTTGGGGTCTGTGGATCTTTGAGAGATTTTAGGAAAGTTTCCAGCATGAGCCAAGATAGTCTGTTTGCTTGGAGAAGCAACTGGAAAGGCTTGGGTGGGCCTGCAAGTTGCCATTCATTTGTACTTTTACTGAGTGCCTAAAGGAGGCACTCTAGCAAGAAGACAGACCACAAACAAGTAGGTAAGAGATTAGTGCTATGAAGAAAGAATGGCAGATAAACAGGTGGAGAATGGCAAAGCATGCTGTGCCCATTTAGAAGAAGGAGTCAAGAAAGGACCCTTTGATAAGGTGACTTTGGATCAGGCTTCTGGAAATCTCAGGGTAGGTCTTTTCTGATTGGTCCAGACCCCTTTACTCCTGGGGCCAGGACCATCAAGTGTCAGTGAAAGAGTGAAGCTGGGCCCCTGCTACCTGGCTTGACTGAAGAGGGCATTTGTTCTCGGAAGACATTTGCTTCAATACATTTTACTTTTTAAAATCCTTTATTAAGACCTCCACTGATTTAATGCCCTTAGAAGCCTGGGTAAGAAGTTCCTTCCTTCTGAACTTCCTAGAAACTATAGTAGCTTAATTAAAGAACAATGAGAAAATGTTTTTCTGCAAGCTTTATGCAACCTATTAAAGGACCTAAATGCTGCTTTTCACCCACTTCAGTTCTCCTGGGTGAAATAGGAGCAGGCCTGTGACATGTGAATAGGCCACAGTTGTGGGAAGAGCTGGGGCGATGTGGACCTTGGGAAACCTTTGTAAGTAACCAGAGTGATGAGGAAATCAGCTCCTCCATGATCAGCTGAGCTTTCTGTTGTGTGTTCCCAAAGTTAAAATGTCAGCAGCCTCAAATACCAGAGAGATCCCTGGACAGGCACTACCAGGCCTTCCGTGACCGTGACCGCTTAGCGTAGAGCCTTCCGGTAACTTCCCTGTGGGGCACTCACGAGGCCCCTTCCCCTGCTGTCAACCACACACAAATCTTGGACGGTGAAGTGCAGGCTGGTGAGTTCTCTCCTTCCCACCTGTGGGTGCCATAAAGAACAACTTCCTACTTTAAAGCTACAGGTTTCCAATGCACGCTGAACCTCGCTGAGGGCCGGCCCCAGGAGGGCTGCTGCACAGCGACACCTGGTGGCAGCCCGAGGAGCCCCGGGAAATGGCTCTGAAGCTCCCAGGCTTACACTCAGTCACGGTAATGGAGGCAAAGGGTCCCTTGATCGAATGTTATGAAGACTGGAATTTTCCCTTTCAAACCAAACCTTACTGTTCTTTATAAGATTTTATCTGAATAAACTGAAGGGCAGAGGAGAGAAGTGAGTGTGGATCACATGGAGTAACTTGCCTGAGGGACAGGTGTGTACACGACATAGAAAAAAATAGACTAATTTGAAACAAGTTAACCACCAATTTAGCCAGTTTTCCTCAAAGACAGAGGAAATAATTATCACAAAATTATAAGTACCAGTTGTAATCTTTAATTCTAATTGTTCGGAAACAATCCTGATTTCTTCCAGGTCTCAACTTTTGAAACCAGCAAGAGGGTGAAATAGTTTGGGTTAAGGCTTTACCCCGTTCGGTGAGGCTACCCCACAGCACCTCACTGTGCTGCACAGATGCCGAGGTGCATCTCTGCGGCTTCAGTGATTGTCACACAAACCCTCAACAGGGAAGGGTCCTCGGGGTTTAACGTTCATTCGGACGTGCAGAAATAGAAATGGGGGGCCGAGAGGTTAAGGCTCAAAGGCAAATGCTTCGGAAGTCCCTGTGACACAGTAGGGGGCGGAATCCAAGTCTCTGACAACGGTCTGCCCCCCACCCCCACTCCAAGATGTTTAAATGATGACTGAAATAATCTCGAGACATCAGTAAACTCATGTGATATGTAAGCTTTCTAATAAAACAGTTTTATAGTTTTTAGAAATAAAATTACTTTCATTTGAAATTTAAAAATTTACCAGTTACTATTCCAATGGCTCCCACACTGAAAAGGTAACAAGAGGTAAAATTAATTTAAAAATATTTTATTTAATTCAGTGTATCCAAATTTTACCATTTCAACATGTAATCAATATTTAAATGTATCATTAAAGTAAATGTTAATAAAAATATTTTTTTAATACTAAGTCTTCAAAATTTGGTGTCTTTTACACTCTAGTTCTTAATGCTAAATTTTCATTCAAAATACTTGCTCTGTATTTAGATTTCATAAAATTGACATCTGAAAAAGACAATTCACATACCCAAGTTATTCCAAGCATACTTAAAAGCTTTCCAGTTACTGAGTTGAGAATCAATTTAAATCAACATTTAAAAAAAAAATAAAACCCTCACTTCCTCAGATGCACTACCCAGCCCCAAGCCCAAGAGTCACAGGCGGCTGGTGGGCATCCGCTCTCCACACAGTGGGGTCACTGGGAGACAGCACTGGGGCGGACCGTGTGTGACCTCAAAGTTAAAGAACTTCCTTGTTGCTTACATTGTCCACTCTCTCATCAACATATTCTAAGGAATTAAATTCTTCTCAAATACGCTCTCTCATAATACGCCACATTTTCTAGTGAACTTTAAACCGCATCAGATTTCATGTGTAAATGCTTCCGGCTGAGTCATGAAGACGCTTCTAAGAGCATGAGTTGTAAAACAACCCATCAATCATGCCTCTTCCTCCGATGCGAGCATCACTGCAAAGCATTAAACCAGGCCCCAAGCGAGTGTTATGGAGCTCCACTCTAGTTTTTACAAAGTAATGGGTAAATATTCCTTTAATGTTTAAGGAACAATTCATGACATTCAAAAAGTAAAAGCTTTTTATGCTTTAGCTCTCTAATTTGCTTCATTATCTCTTTACTAGTTGAGTGTTTAAAAACTAAATGCTAAGCACTTAGGTATTAGAGCGAATGACAGCAGCTCTAGAATTTCTTATGTAACTTAATTAAAACCCACTGATCAAACAGATGCTCAAATCTTCCCCCAAAGTGAGTGGTTAACCCTGTGCTCAAACTGCTGTGTGAGCCCAGTGCTGCAGCCCGGCCGCTCGTCTCGGGGGCGCAGGGCGTCGCCTCCTCACATCCTGGCCCTCGGGCCTCTGGCCTGGTCCTCCAGCTCCAGTCTGGCAATGGCTGAGAGGTGGACTTCGTCGGGTCCATCTGCTAAGCGCAGAGTGCGCGTTACGGCATACCTGGGCAAACAAAAAGAACAGGATGGCAGAAATTACCAGAGGAACATGGTACCTTAACATAGTCACTTTGATTGTCAGTCAAACTCTTCAGGTTGGAAATCTGGCCAAGGCAGTGATATGAAAAAGCGCAGGGAAAATCCAGTGAAGAAGCCCAAGGACTTCTGAAAGGCCCCTTCCAAGTGGCACAGTGCAGCGGGCTCGTCTCAGTCTTGGTTTGCTGTAGGTTACTAGAAATTGCTAGAACTAAGAGACCTTATAGGTAAGCCACAAGCTGTGAACTCTGAGTATATAATACTTGTATACTAAAAATACGTAGTGCTATGTGTTTCGCTCTTGCTGCAGGTTAAAAGTTGATGGGGGAAGCAAAGGGGCACTTCCCCAGGGGGAGGGAGGTGGCAGTGGAGGCGAGCAGTCCTCCCTGACTCCCACCAGCACCCGGGGTCCCGCTGTGAGAGGGTCTCCACACGCTGCTGCACACGGGCCGGGCTTCGCAGTGGAGGGATAAGGCACCCAGTCCACGGCTCGCCTGGCCCTGGGCTCCCTTTGGCTGTCTCTGCCTGGTCCTCTCCTTCCAGGTTCAGGGTGAGCCCCCATGCTGTTTCTTCTACCCAGGAGCCCCAGCGTGGAAGTTCACGTAACTGAGATGACCATTGTCAGTATAAGAGCTCTGTGCTAAAGCACTAACGTTACAGCTGAACCTTCAACAATGTGGGGGGTGGGGCGCTGACCTCCTGCATGGCTGAAAATCTGCCTATGACTAGTACTTTATTTAGCTTTCAAAGATAATTTAGAGTAAATTGGTATCTCTATTTTCTTCTTAAACAATTAGCGGCAAGGCATCTGTGGGTTTATGACTCCAAGCTGGTCGAATACGGGTGGTTATTAACACCCACAAAGTAAACAACATCTACTCACATGTTAGCCAGAGGGTAGTCCTGGGAAACACCTGCACCTCCACACACTTGGATGGCCCGGTCAACAATTTTGCAGACAGCCCGAGGGGCGGCCACTTTAATCATTGCAATCTACAAAAGCAAGATAAGAAAAGAATGTTCCTTTCTTCCACAATGTACCACTTGGCAGAATTTGATATAATCTGTATTTTGTTTGTGAACTCTAACAAAGGAACTTTTCCACATGCATACACTCCTGAAACAGTATCTTTGATGAAAACCAACAAGGAGATCCGCTGTAATGCGGCTAATGGCCATATTTCAGTCAATGTGGGCCTTCGGGAAAGAGATATCACTCCCATGTCACATTTTGTAAACGTATGACTTGCCTTGTTTCCGGAAGAATTTCAGGCAGCTGATAAGTTACATTCATCACTGTAAGGATCATAAAAAGTGTCCAAGAGTTTTCACTAATCAGTTTTCTCTTGGCAATTTTACTCGCTGTTAGCATTAAGTTCTGATCATGTTCTTATTCCACGTAGGCCAGAAACACAAGGCAGCAGAGGACAAGCAGTTTTATGCAACATTCACTGCATGGCAACGCAGGGCTGCCCAGTCTGTGTTGGCTGGGCCAGTCTCCTTCACTAGCACCCCAGGCTTCCAGCAGAAGGGGTAGCTACTCTGCCCAAGGTCACAGAGCTGGCAGAAGGTGACACAGTGGTGACCAAGTCTGTAAGAAGTTTCGGGTTTCCCTACTCCCTGTTGCTGCATCTGAAGAATGCCTAAGATATTTTGTATCCTGAAAGTCATTCTCTAAATCAGCTCAGTGAAAGGAAAACTAGTGAGTGACATACATTAATAATCTTTAAACCAGAAATCACACAGAAGCTTCCAGTGTTCTCAGTGCATCAAAGTGCCACAAAACCCGACACGCCCATTGGAAGGGAGACTAGAGAAGGCTTGTGAGGGGTGGTGCAGGGGCCTCACCTCCTTCCTGGCGCCAGCGCTGCCGAGGGTGTCAATGCTGTGGGCGGCTTTCAGGGTCAACAGGCGGATCTCTTCAATGGCAATGCGGCTTTCAGCAATCCAGTGAGCCACAACCTCCTGCGGGGGTCAGGGACCGCAAAAAGGAGGAGATAAGCTGATGTCTTACATCCCATGTAACACAGCCTTGAACTTTGGCGAAAGCACTCTAGTCCAAGGACTGTCCCCAAACCTCACTCTCTATATTTTTTAGTGGAAGAGTTTTTTTCACCTGATACAACCTCTCCACTAGTTGTAGAACCACCAGGTTACCTATTTCACCTTCAGGGACTTTGGTAGATGGTGGCTTTTGAGGAATTAGTCTGTTTCACCTAAGTTGTCTAATTTATGTGCTTTGCACACATGCCCGGATCAGGAGGGAAGAAGATTCCACTTCAGCCTCAGCTCCAGGCCCATTCTCCCCTTTTCCCGGAGAGCTCTGCACTGTGTGTGGACTGCTGGCACAGATTAAGAAAGTGGCACTTCCAGTGACTTCTACTCCAGGAAAATAGAAAAGATGTACTTTACCCATTTCTCTTGCTAAGTGCAACTAAAAACCTAGACATCATCTATAAAACAAACCTAAGAGGACTCCAAAATGTGGAGAGAAGGCACACCTGCTAGGGACTTCCAGACTAAAAGAACAACTTGGTGGTGACTTCCCTGGGTTTTCTTTTTGCCTCATATATCTTGGACTTGGAGCTGAGGAAGCCAGCAACCGGGAATTGTCAATGAGCACAAAGAATTATGCAAAAAGAAAACAGCCCAAGAAAAGCTTTCTCTCTGTAGCTGAGGGGTTGGGTAGGGGCAGCCTAGCAAGAAAGAAGACTTACATGGAATAACCACTCTACCCAAGCCAGACACCACAGAAAACCGCTCAGCCCCACCCCTGCTCATGCCCGCAAAGACTTCCACCTGCACCAGTGCTGCAAGGAGGAGCCTCAGCACCCGTGCCAGGGTGGCATCAGAATGCCAAGTAAGGAGCTGGACCAGCAACAAGCTCCATTCTCCCTGCAGTGTCCCTGGACTTCCATGCCACCACCTTCAAACAAGCCATCAGTGGTGAGTTTCCTTTCGATGGCTGTAAAACTGGGTGACTGATTACATTGTCATGAACAGACCCCAAATTTGCTGAAAAGGGTTAAGTGGGTAGAAAATGCTCTAAGGAACTGCCAGGTGGCTCATTAAGACAGAACTTTGGTACAGAGCTGTTAGCTTTATCTCCTGGAATATTTACAAGGCAGCTGGAAGGAGTCTCTGAATTCAGGGAAAAGGAATGTTAACTTCACACACACACACAAGCTGGTCCAGATTTTTGTTTATAACGTGCATACACATCTCTTCTACTTCTGCCAGGTCATTTTCTTTGTGCCAAATGCAAGAAGTTTCCAGTGAAGGGCGTCATATTTTTGAGAAGCCCAGACTTGTTCTGCTTGAAACATTAACTTGAAAAAGCAGGAGGGAAATCTCCCTCTAATACAGTGTTAACACCTGTCTTATGAAAGCAGCAATCGAGCAGAATGTTCCTGTGTGTTCGAGATGCCTGTCCGTCAGCCTTCCTGTGTCCTCCCATCACCCTGCACCAGGGGTGGGATGAGATCTTGAAACCAGAAGAGCATAAGAGGTGAGAGTGCCTTGAACACCATCTTCTCTCCTCCTCCAGCAGCACCAGGGAGCGGTACCCATGGCCCCCACTCACTCCTGCTTACCTCCTCCCACAGAGCCCGGCCAGCGGGGAACCCTGGCCCCTGCTGTGTACTAAAGGGGATCCCCATGAATGATTCCTGGGTGTGTGCCCTGAAGCAGGCTGTATTTTTCCGTAAGGACAATGTTATGACCAAATCACAGATGTGCTGAATAATATTTTACAAAAAGAAATATAGCCTATAGAAAGTAAAAACATACTGCAAAATTTTATAAGATGGTCACAAGTATACTTTACAAGGGCATCAATGTGCTAAAATACACATGTCCAACAAACACAAATACAACTTCATCATGACATGCTTGACACTGACATGTTAGCAATGGAAAGCATGAAATATTTAACAACAATTTTTCTTGTTATCTTAAAAGTTAGAAGGGCTTTTGGGGGGATGATTTGCATATCCCACTTCGTAAAAAGTTTTCTAAGGAAGTCTGAAATGATACCTTCTTCTCTCTTGATAAATGTTCCCTAATTTTGATTACATTGCCTACACATAATGCTGTTGATTGTGCTTTGTGAACAACAGACTTGTGCATGATTTATGGGTGAGAGCTCAAAAACTCACGGGCATCCCAGCAGATGTTGGTTCCACTTCTACTTGAGTTTCGCCAGTGAAGCAGCCCACTCCCTTCCTTCCTCGGTCTCTCCCCTCCCTGAGTGTGAGGCCACTTCCCTCTGTCCCGACACTGGCCTACCCTAACCCCTTCCAGAAAGGCCAGAGACAAGGCACTCGTGCAGCCCTCTGGGATGTACCAGGCTCTCTAGAGAATGGGAATCTGAGGAATTCTGAGACTCCCACCTGAGAATGGGAATCTGTCCACACTCTGTGTGCTGAGGTGCGGAAGCACTTCAGGAGTTATTTAATCTTTCACACAGATAACTGTCTCTCATCAGACTATATTCAAACACCGGCGTAAATATGTGTTGGGGAAAAGAATTACGTTGTTTGTGCAGAGGACATCTCTCTGACCAAGGAATGCTGTTTGGTTCAGGGTTAGCGTAGTGTGTTGGGCTATAATAAGTTGAAATAAATAATTGTCCTCACGTGGGAATGCAGTTTCTTCCGAAAGGCCACCCTCTGTGCTGCCCGCTCACACATGATCTGCAAAGCGCACTCCGCCAGACCCACTGTTCTCATGCAGTGATGGATCCTGCCAGGGCCAAGGCGGCCCTGGGCGATTTCGAATCCCCTTCCCTCACCTGTGAGGAGGAAAAGGGAGCATGACAGTGACTATGGCCCGCGTGTTGTGTCGTTTACACAAATCCCGAGCACATGATGAACTGCCCTCAGTATAGATAAAGGGCGTCCTAGCAGGGAAAAAGTTCTACAACCAGATTCATTATAAACTGATGGAACTTTTGATTGCTCAGTTTTTAAACCGCCATCAGTAAACATTGTGATCAAATTTAAGAACTATTTCCTGAGTACCTACTGTGCATAAGCTATCAATGCCATGATGGTTACAGAGGTCGGCTCGACACAGTCCCTACACTAGGGACTGGGGACAGGGACGCTAAGCGTGAGGGATGTGGAGAAGGACAAAGACGGGCACAGGAGGGAGAGACTGCAACCTCAGGGCGGGGCAGGCACAGGCGCCCGGGCTTGCTGAGTGCAGGGGACGAGGAACACAGACGCCTCCCTGAGAGGGGTGCCCTTTGAGATTCCCTGAAGGCTGGTGGGATTCCAGTAAGCGAGAGGGTGGAGTCACTCCAGACTCCCAGTGTTCAAAGTTATTACTCTTTAACATGTGTGCGACTTGAATTCAGAGAGTACTGAGGTTTTTTAAAACAAGGAGAGGCCTGAAGATCATGTTCTAGGAAACAGTGTGTTGCTCTGAACTATGTAATTTTTAGCTATGTTTTCAATTGATGTGATACAAAACCACAAACACTTTAATAAAACATTCTGTATAAGAAAATCCACAAAATAGAAGAATGTTCCCTTGTAAATGGACTGAGGGAAAATGAAATTAAGGTGGACTTCCTATCTCTTCCATATTTAGACCTGAAAATATCTTAATACACAATACTATAGAGTCATTTTTGCGAACGTATCTCACCTAGTATTAAATTGGTGGCAGGCACTCGCACTTGGTTAAAATGGATCTCAAAATGTCCTCCATGAAAATAATCTATCAAATAGAAAATAAAATTTTAAAGAACGAAAGGAGTTTGCCAGAAAAAACCCAGTCTCATATAATTAACCTGCTGAAGTGTAATTTCTCGAAGACAGTAGGCCTCACGTGCCTCGGGTGTCGCGGGCCTTCCCGGGGAGGTCGGCTGGCCCCGGCATCCCCGCATCCCCAGCCGGGAAAACTCGTCCGTCAGACGTTCCAGTCAGGAGGGACTGTGGAAATCTTCTGTCTGTTCTGAGTGCGTCTCTGAAGCTGCAGAGCTTTTGCAATGGAACATGGCTGCACAGCTCCGATCAGACCATTCTATTATTGTTTTATTATTGGTGCTTGTTTGAAGTCTTTTATATATGGGCTTCCAAAGAAAATTTTGTTTGGAGGGAAAAAAAGGTTTCTATAGTTTAAAAATGAAAGTGCGCAATGCAGTGCAAGTTTCTTATTTCTCATTGTAGAAACCGAGGCCCGGGCACGAGGGGGCTGCTGGGGGACGAGGCAGGCTCAGCACAGAGATGCAGTGCGGGCGGGCCCTTCAGGGATGTGCACTCCCGGCCTGGGCTCGCTCCCTGCGTGTCCCCTCCTGAAAGTGCTGGTGTGTCGCTGGGCTGGGAACACGTTCACATTTCTGTCTTCACAGCGCCCTGCCAAGTTCTGGAGATAATCTTGCTCGCTCCACACCCTTTTCCTGTCAGAATAGACCTGAGTAATCAACCTTCTCCACACTGTTTCTTTTGGCCTTGGGCACTGGGAGTTGGAGAGGTGCTGGAGGACTGGTCACAGTGAACATTCTAACACGGCTCTGCAGTGCCGGGCATTTGCAGCTGATCTCTATTATGAACCCGTTTCGGGAATCATCAGGCTGTTTGGTCTGCACCCGACTCCCCACGCACAGTCTGATCCAGGGAGCCTGTTCCTCCCCGTTTTGCCACGTTTAACCTGTGGGTCCTTTCCACCGCAGTTTCGTACAGAGACGACCGTGTCAACTGGTCCATGAAACTGCAAGTCCTGCTCTGTCACATGAACGTTTTCACGGGCCACATTCAACAATAAAGAGAAGGCCGGCCTCCCACGGAACCCGAGGTTCAGTGAACTTTTTTTGCAGCATTATCACCTGCCGTGTAATCACCATGCTTTCAAATGTACTTATTTACCTGTTTGTAGTTATTCCCCCGCCCCCACCCCATGTAAGCTCTACAAGGGCAGAGAGCTTAGTCTCTTGTTTTCGCTCATGCGCACTAAGCACTGAGACCAGCGGTCAGCACTAGACCCTCGCTGAGTGAATGACCAAGCTGCAGGGAAACAGTGGGCATGAACCTGGCATGGGTGGCACGAAATAAAATGCCCTCGCTTCTCAGAAATTCTATGCATGGGGCAAGGGAAGGAAAAGTTTTGCACTCAAATCAGCCAACACTCCTTGCTTATTAACAGCTTACAGGTTGATTAAGAGAGCTAAACATGAGTTTTATTGTGGATTGACTAGACTTCATTTTTCTGTGTGTATCTCACAAATCCATTCTCCTGGGTGACAGACAGAAGGTCAGCCAGCCGGCAGAGCTGTGGTTCCTCAGGTACCACCTGCCATTTCCCAAAAGTAAACAAGATGAGGTGCAGTGCTGCACCACCTCTTTTTACTTGACGGCGTTTACATTATGACAGTTGTTGGGGCGAAAAGATTTCCAAGCACACATCTCGCACACTGAAGCACTGTCTCTCCCCTTCAGTGACACCACGCGCTGCAGCCTTGCCGCACAGCCGCGCCGACGGGGCACTCACCCATGTAGCCAAAAACCGACAGAGGCCTTCTCACTTCTACCCCAGGCGTGCTGAGAGGGACGAGAATCATGCTGTGCTCTTTGTGTCTGATCAAAAGAAAAACAGATGTGAGGAGGAGCCTGCTAAACGGAAAAATAAGACATGGCAGGCAGAACTGCAGTTGTGTGACTTGTCATTGTCATGTGATCATGTCGGCAATGCTGTCCGGATTGGGTGTAAAACACACACACCAGACAGAGGGGGATGCGGGCTGGAATCCGAAACAGTAACAGGGATTTGAAAATATGTAAAAGTTACTTATCTGTGGCTTCTCATTGCTCAACTATAGGAAATGATGACAGATAGTGCTAAACATTTCAAGACCTTTGATGTACACCATCATTTAATTACTTAGACAGTTTGGAAAAATTTTGTCTTAAAATTTGACCCAAAAAGCTGTGAGGATTCACAGCAATACTTTAAATACAGGAAATTCCACAGTGAAGAATGTATGACAACACTCCCTAAAATGTTTCCTGGATATATCTTTAAGCAAAATAATTGTAAAATACAAGTATATGACATTTAATCTCATAATGTATTTTATATTATTATGATTTGTGAGTCTAAATGGTGCATTTTAAGTTAACTGAGTGGACAGAGAGTAAGACTGACTGGTAATCCTAATCCTACATAGACTTTCAGTCACAACTGTTTTATTACCTGGCTGCTGCGGTATTTTTAGTCCTTCCCAAAACGATCGCAATTTTGCACTTTGGATTCCCAGCTCCTAAAACCAAGGGGAAAATGTGCAGAAAACATCATAAAAGGAAATTTTTAGTCTGACATTATACCCTAAAAATTCTAATCCTTCCAAGTTTATCTCTGGCAAAAAACAAATAGGAAAAATCTTTGATTTATTAGAAAAAAAACACTTCTGTACAAAACTGTGTGTTGACTGAGGAGAAATGACCCGGTGAGGCCAAGAACGGGCTCCGTCTGTGGAAACTGCCGCACGGCAGTGGTCAGGCGTGCGGCCAGGAAGCCGCCGCAAGCCTGCAGACCAAAGGACAGCTCTGCTGCTCGTGTGTGTCAGACTGCGGCCCGCAGTTCCTCCCGTTCAGAGCTCATGCTTTCCGGCACGTAGACAGGAGGGTATTAAGACTCATATGCCATTTACTCCCCAACCCGTGGCTGAGAAATGAAACCAACTGCCCCAGCAGTGAGCAGGGCGAGGTCCGCCTGCTCGAGCATCGCGGTCCCTGCCCCAGGCCACGTTGCTCGCCCCCCCCCCCGCTGTGGGGCCGCACTGCGGAGCAGATGGTGACACTGTGCTCCATGTGCAGGAGACGCGCATTCCGGCTGCAGCACACCTCGGTTCTCATTTATTTATGTAGGGTTAGGAATTTAAAAACAGTTTCTCTCATTTTAAGGCAAACTTTTACTTTATGATAGTTCAGAGGTCTATGGCCTTATAGCAAAAAAGCACATTTCATTTTCACCAATAAGTCTAACAACCTGGCCCCACAAGGAAACTACCATTTAACTGTCCAATTATAAGGCCATAAACAACTGGGTCAGACTAAATTAAACACATCTATACAAATTCTTAAATTATCGTATTTTTTCTTTTAACTTCTCATAAAAAGCGGTTTCAGGAGATGTGAAGTGATGTGAAGATTCCCTGAGAAATGTTAGGAATGACGTCTCATAGCTGAATGCCACAAAACCCCACGGGTTTAGAAGGAAAAGCGCCATGGAGCATACTAGGGGACAGTGCAGGGATGTGGCAATGCAGGGATATAGCCAGTAAAACCCACACTGGGAAATCTATGAGACAAGTGATCCGGTTCCTTTAACAATTAAATTGAAGTAAAAGGAACAAGAAAGAGAGGGAGCCTATAGATTAAAAATGACTTTAAAAGCATATCAACCAACAGCAATTTTCAGACATTCGATGCTAGTCCAGTCCCACAAACTGAAACGAAGTTAATGACAATTACGAAACAATGAGAACTGTGAGTACTTCCTGGACACACGGACACTGACACAACTTCAGGTGTGCTAAGGGTGCTGTGGTCGCACTTTTAAAAGTGCCCCAATTGAGAAACATCATAAAACATCTGAAGGGAGTGATGTGGTGTCTGGACTCTATTTCACGTAAAAGGGGGTGTGGGGAGTAGGGATGAAGCCTGACTTAACATGAGCTGAAAGCTGCTGTGTCTTGAAGCTGCCCAGAGAGCATCCCTAGGAGACACACACGCAGCAGTGATGTGGAGGAGGGACAGGCTGGCACACGGCTGCGCCTGGGACTCTTCCATAGTGGTGAACAGGACCAGTAACGGACAGCAAGGCCTGGAGGGAAGAGAGGTGTGGTCACTGCAGTCTGAGCGGGGACTCAGCAGAGGACACAGTGAAGAATCGGTGCTAGAAGAAAAGATGATTAGGCAAGAAACAGAGAGCAAGGCAAGCCAGGGTTAAAAAAACTGAGAAGTTAGAATGGGTCTACTTTAAACCCTAGCACTTGCATTTGAAATTCTGAAACTCTGTGCAGTTGGATCTCCTGCTCTATAGAAAAAAACAAATAGAATGCACAACTGTAGCTCCTGTAGTATTTTCAGTCTATTCGAGGGGATAATAAACAGAGAAAACTATACAATGGAAACAATCTACAATTTGCTAGAGTTCAGAATGGAAAACTGAATTTGATAGCTTTTCTGAATCCAACTTGGAAAGAGTCAAAATGGCCAGAATTATCTTCCAGTGATATAAAAATATAAAAGTACGATGAAGGTATAACCTTAACAGAAAAAATATAGAAGGTGAGGCATGGGGTTGGTGGTGGTGGTGGTCACCAGCAGATGAGGGTTCAGTAAATGCCCGGGAAGCAGACAGGGGCAAGCTGACCAGCGACATGGACAGAGAAGTCAGAGTCTAGGAAAGGATGGAAGGAACCACAAAGGGAGAGGGCTCGGGCCCCAGAGTCAGAAGGTATAACTGAGAAGTGAGGCTACGAGATTTATTAGTGGGCTGCTGTATCAGGCGGCACTCTCACAGGTCAGCATCAGACAGTCTAAGGAGAAAAGTATACAGTGTGCTACTGAAAACCAGAACAAAGTCATTCTGAGACTTGAAAGGGAGCTTCCCATCAGCTGACTCTCAAGTGAGTCCCAGCCCTGTTCCACCAGGTCTCCTTACAGAATTCCCACTCAGGAGAGAAATGTGGCCGAAAAAGAGCTCTGAGTTACTAATGAAGGAGACAACCAACTACTCTCCCTCTTCTCTTATGTATGAACAGAAAACCAAGGACCTGCAGTATGTGAGGAGAGCCCACAGCATTAATGAGGATAACTGTCCAAAATAAGCTATAAGAGGCCCTCAAGGAACAAAATAAAAGAAACAGAACCTAAAACAAAACAAAATTGAGCCAAACCGAACAACAAAATCTCTAGTTAATGTAATCTGAGAGACCTACATGTATTGCAGCCATAAAACCAGAAAAGGATACTATGAATCAGGGACACCAGCAAACAAGAAAATAAAAGCTCTTAGGTGATTAACCTATGGTTGCTAAAACATAAAATTGAACAGACCACTACAAATCAAATCAGGAAAATTTCCATAATCAAAGGAAAAAAGTCAGAGATTAAAAACAGGAGAGCAAAGATAGAGATACTTAGAGCAAAAATATAAAGTCCAACATCAGAATAAAAGGGGTGCGATAAAGAGAGAAATTAAGGGAAGAACTTATCAAAGAAACTTGTAGAAGAAAATTTTCTAAAACCAAAAAATAAAAGTCTTCAGATTACAAGGACTACTGCCTGGCAAGAAGAATCTTCAGATATGCGCTTGTGACACTTCAAAACACCAGCAATAAAAGGGAAATCCTAAATGGTTTCAGAGAGAAAACAAGTCCCTTATAAGCTAATAAGGATTAGATTTGTATCAGGCTGAAGACTCTCAGAGAGAGGCCTCCAGAAAAGAATGAATTACATGTACAATTTAGAACTGTGTGTTGATGTGTAAGAGCAGATAATGCTAAAAGCAAATAATGCAATGCAAGAAAAATGGCAATTAGAAACTCCAGGAAAATATTTTCTCAATGTACAAGTGAGCCATGGTTCAAATGGGCATGAACTGAAGTAATGCCTAGGGTGTAATATAAGCTTCTAATTGACCTTGATGCTCCAAATGGCCAAGGGGATATCACCTTGCCTCAGTTAGAGAGGGACACGCAATCTAACACACTTAGACCGGCACTGAACAGTATTAACCCAGTTCTATAAAGCAAGTGTGCTATGTGTGGGTTTTTGAAGTTGAGTCGCCCTGTGGTCAAGCACACCACAGAGACATGACATAAATGTCAGCTCTCCCAACAACGTAAAAGTAGAGGCTGTGGCTGACATAAGGTACGATATGGCGGAAGAGATAAAAGGTAAAGAAAGCAGTAAGTGCACTCATATCCTCATGTAATAAAGTTAAGCTCGAAGAGAGTCTGTCCATGAGGATGCAGAGGAAAGATTAGAGATCATTTAAAGTTTAAAAGTAATCAAAATATTTGAAACAATAATATATATATGTGGAAATGGCTGTTATATTACAAATGAGTGAAACTGTCATATTCAAATTGGAGAGTCAATGGATAGTGCCTAACATGAATAAACTTGGAGAAAAAAAAAAGCATTTGACTTAAAATTATAGCACAAACCAGAAAACTAAAACCAGAAAATGTTAGAAGAGTTTTCTCTACAGTATGGTATCAGGGTGTGGAGGGATGGGGAACAGTATGTTCTTAAACACGTTCTCATTTGTTACCATTTCTAATTTAATAATAATAGTAATAATTTTATTTTGTTATTATTTTTTAAGATTTTATGTATTTTTAGAGAGGGGAAGGGAGGGAGAAAGAGACGGAAAGAAATATTAACGTGCAGTTGCCTCTCGCATGCCCCCTACTGGGGAACTGGCCCCTGTAACCCAGGCATGTGCCCTGACTAGGAATCGAACTGGTGACACTTTGGTTCACAGGCTGGTGCTCAATCCACTGAGCCACACCAGTCAGGGCTAACAGTAATAATTTTAAAAGCATTTTAAAAACTAGCCTACCATCTTGTAAACAAATGCAGATCACAGGAGGAGGAGAAAGAGACTTGCTGAGTAAACTGCAATATGTTGTTTTTTTCCCTTTTCCTAATCTCTTTTTAATTTGAACATTTAGCACAGCTGTGGAGAAGCATTTCCTGCATAGGGCGGGGCATTTTCCCCACTTCGTCTATGTGATAATACACAACTCCAGAAGTCCTCCGTGCATACTCTGCCTTATAAAACACTTAAACTGATTAAAAAAAAAAAACCCACTAAAAATAACCTTCATCCGGGAAAGGGAGAGAAGGGGAAAGAAGTCAGTGTGCCTAAACTAATGACTCAATCCATGCCCAGGCTGGTGGTGAAATAAGAAAACACTTTAAACTGGTTTAGACCTCGAACCACACGACTGCTTTCCAGCCCTGTCAGGACCTGCAATCGCATGTACATGCATGAACACATAATTCCATTTGTGACTAGAGACTACAGGAGAAGTCTTTTAACTTAGAACAGGACATTTTAAAAAACTGACATTAAGTTGGCTAATAGATACCACACTGTAATCAGAAAACAAATAGGCAAACTTACCTCTCCTATTTTTTCTCCAAATGTATGACTTACTGTCTCTATTACACATGAGGTAAAGAGTAAAACCCTTTTTTCCTGCCTTCTGGGCCCTTGCAACATAGTCATTACTAAGTCCAA